GTCCGCGCTCTGTCGGTGGCCACGAAGGGTGAGTGGGAACCCGGCGGCTGCAGGGCGGGAGCGAGGGGCTAAGGCGGACTCTGGCCTTAGGGGTGCTTCGGCTTCTGAAAAATGGGCATTCGGATTTCTTCTTGATTTATGTTTTCTTTTCCATGCACAATGTACAAAGTGATACAGAATCAAAGGGTTCCCAGTGCAAAGTCTCTTCAACTCCAAACCCCTTCCCCAGTCACCTGCTATAGTGCCTTTGTATCTGCCCAGAGAGGATCTATGTGTCTGCAAACACAGGTGTATATATATGTTCTTCTGTGGCTCCCTTACACATTGCTTTTTACAATATGCCTTGGAGAAGCTCGTGCAAATCAATGGTAAACCACAGAGCAGTGATTTTAATTAGAGAAGCATATATACGGTGAGAGGAAGTTAAATGAGGAAGGAAGTTTTACTCCATCTGGGTCTCTTCAACCTGGAAAACAGTGGAGGGAGGTGACCCAAGAATTATGGGTACTAAACTTCATGATGATTATGGTTTTTCATGGGATAAAATGATTATAAGTATGTCCTTGAAATAGAATGAGAAAAATTATTCTCTCTAGATCCTCTGGAAAAAAGAATTCACCTGTTCAATTCTTTAGCTATATTAATTATCTACAATGAACCAGAATTACATGGAATGGGGCTCAAATGCCTCCTCCTCCCTCCCACAACCAGGTTGCCTAAGTTAGATTTTTTTAAAAAAATACATATCTTTTTTATTTCAGAGAGGAAGAGAGAGGGAGAGAGAGATAGAAACATCAATGATGAGAGAGAATCATTGATTGACTGCCTCCTGCATGTCCCCCATTGGGGGTCAAGCCCACAACCCAGGCATGTGCCCTTGACTGGAATCGAACCTAGGACCTTTCAGTCCCCAGGCTGATGCTCTATCCACTGAGCCAAACCAGCTAGGGCCTAAGTTAGATTTTAGATGCCTTAAAAAAAAAACAAAACAAAAAACCACCACCAACAAAAAACTGTCGCTACCATAGCCTAGTAGATCTACCTTCTTTTTTTTTTTTTTTTTAATTTTCTTCCAGAAAGGACAACCCACCCTTACCTGCAGAAACAAGATGGAAAGACAGAGCAGAGACAGTGATCATTGGAGGTGGCTGTGTTGGTGTGAGTCTGGCTTATCACCTCGCCAAAGCAGGGATGAAGGACGTGGTCCTCCTGGAGAAATCGGAGCTCACTGCTGGATCTACCTGGCACGCAGTAAGGAAAGCACCTCACAACTGTCATGTTCACTGAGTTGTGCACTAGGGCAATCGGTTTCCTTCCCATTCACAACACCCTGCTGCTGCCTCGTTAGAGTGAGTTCCCTTTCAACAGTGTTCCATCTTGGTTGGCACACTTCCAAGTGGTGGTCAACATTGATGCTGTCTTTATCTGGAACATATGGCTTCTGGATTCACATCCTAGCTCTGCCATTTTCTACCCAAGTGACTTATGGCAAATTACTTAAGTTTCCATTTCCTGGGATGAGTAAGGCACTTGGATGTGTAAAATGGGATTATTAATAGTACCTACCTGCTAGGATTGTGATGTAGGTTGCGTTAATATGTGTAAAGTTATTCAACAAATGTAAAGTGGTTAGTAAATGGTATCCTTTGTATCAAAGAACAGCAGCTGGGTGATCCTGAATATGGCAGAGACCTTCACCAACATTCCCCTCACCTGGCTGTAGTGGTCCTTTTCATTGACTTATTTATTATTTTAATTTTGTGTTGTGAGAGAATAGGTTGACTACATGAAGACTTAACTAGGAGGACTGAGAACAGCTTTTGTGTTAAATAATGCATGCAGCCAAGTCAGTCTCACATATTTGATGGTATATGCATAATTGTCCCAGTGCTATAAAATAACTGGGCTGAAATGGAAAGCGGCTCAGGTAAATGAGGTGATTGACACTGCCTTCATGCTGTCAAACCAGTTATTTCTGAAGTCAGCTAAGGATGGGAGAGAGAGGACGTTTTTATGACTGTCAGTACAGATTTCTTTTGAAAGAAGAGTTAAGCAGTGTTAGCTCAGCTTTCAGTCCTTAGCTTTCCTTTCTGTCATTTGCTTTCTTCTGTTGAGACAAGAGAAAACCCTGCTTTTAGGGTTTTCATCCAGACCTGCTCATCCAGACTTGCTCAAGGTGTGGTCTGGAGGTTGAGCACTGAAATGGCTGCCTGCCTCTAGTTGAGTGTGGAGAAGAGTGCAGCCAGATTCCAACCCAGTTGGCTCCAGAGTCTAGTGGCCACAGAGTCTGACCACGTGGTTGGATGGAGGCCCCTAGAAAAATCATAGCAAACCCATCTTCTCTTTCCTCTCCTTCTCTCCCCTCAGTCTGGGAGAGAGGCCCAGGCGCCTAGTCCTCCTGAGTGTAATTTCAGAACCTTCACAGGCACACTGTATTTTGTTTTGCCAGTTCCCCCTCAGTATGCTTCTTCCTACCTGGAGATGGGTCCAGGAAGCCACCAACACTCCTGGCTCTTCTCCCCTCCCTGCACTAGACTTTCTATGTGGGCTTTTTACTATCATGGAAAAGAAAGCCTGTATTTCTCCTATAGCCTTCCTATAACTTCTCCTTGCTAGACATTCAGTCACTCTTTCAACAAATATTTTCTAAGAGCCTATGTGTTGAGCCAGTGCTTTTAGGGGAGGACACAGCAGTGAACAAAACAAAGTCCCTGCCCCCATGAGCCACACTTGTGCAGGGCAGACAGAAAACGCACAAGCAGCGCTTGGGAGTAATCAGTGTCATGAAGAAGAGGGTAAAGGGATAAAGAATGATGGAGGAGGAAGAGTCAGGAGGCTATTTTAAAGAGTAGGGACAAGGTAGAAGTGAGTGAGTAAGGGGGTTGGGAGGCTGTCCAGGCAAGAGCATGTAGGCAGAGGGAAATTTAGGCACGTGGAAATATCCTAAGTGAGAGGCTTACACCCTTTAACACTTTCAGCTTGTTAAATATTATTAATATTTTAATTACTTATTTGCTCACTTATATTTGATGTGGCCTGCATTAGAGAATAGATAACTGAATTCCCTGCAATTTTACTTCTTAGACATCCCAAGAATTAAAAAAAAGAAGGCAACATACCCTTAACCCAAGTTCTTTTAAGAAAAGTGGGCCAAGTTTTTAATATGCTAGTTTCTAGTTAAATGTTAACTGTGCAAAACAATTTTCCTTAAGCAAAGAGATACCAGAGTGGGTGGGAAAGGCATTGTCCTGGTTTGTGAACAAAGTATTATGCAATGGTTTACAAAATTGGATTCATGCAGTGTGGGCTCAAGATGGAGTCAGGCAGCAGAAGCCAGGCTACTTGGCCCCCAGAGAAATGAAGGAAAAGAAAAGAGGGTTGCCCTGGGAACCCGATTCTATGCAGTTTTGCAAGTCAAGGAGGCCTCCCTCTGAGGAGTAACATGAAAGAAACCCCATGTATTAGGAATTTTTAACACAGAAATACTTGCAGCACATATGAGAATGTGAAAGGTTAGGGAGCCAGTTAAAGGGGTAGAATACAAAAAATAAAGGCAGGCTCATCGAAGTATAACATGTACTCAGGTTAAACTTGTCTGGGAGTGTAGGAATCGGTGCTTAGGCAGGAAGGCACAGCTTGCCATGTGAGTATTCAAAATGAAGCCACAAATCCAAAAATCCTGAGGGTTTGCTGAATTTCAATGAGACTGCTTTGTCAGCACCTGACACTCCTACTAATGTGGAGCAGTTCTTGTAGGGTGGGGGTAGGGGAGAGGATTAAATGAGAAGCAGTTTTGGAGCTTGGGGTTCCCAGGAGAGGCTGCCCCTGGGGATGGTAAGAAAGTGGGTGGTTTGGAGGGCTGAGGACTAAAGATGAAAGATGATCCATATGGTGTGTAGAAAGACAATATTAGAACTTCCTATTTATTTTTAACTAAAAATGTAAGAAAGAAATTAAACTTTCCTAGTGTTTCTAACTAGCCCTCACCTTTAATGTGGGTGATGTGTTGGGTATTATTCCAAGGGACTGAGTAAGAGAGAGGTGGGAACTTTACAACGGGAGTGTCCTCACTTGTTCTTTGGTCTTCAGTCTGTCATGACACATTGCAGATCAGGTGTTGTAGGACATCACCTTTGTGATTCATTTTATAGAACCAGGGCTTTAAGTAAAATAATGGGTGATGAAAAGGGGAGGGATTAACCTTGAGAGTGTTGTACTACATGGAGATTTGTTGGTGTCATTGTAATAATTAAAAGGACTGTGAAACTTAAAGTTTTTCTTTTACAAAAAGACAGTGTCCTAAAAAATAGACACAGGACACAAGACATAGTCTATCTTTTCTGCCCCCTTTTTTTCCCCCCAAAACAGTCCTGTTGGGAAGAGAAAATGTTGAAATGGGATGTTTAGAAATGTTGACATTATTATTAAATTTTTCTGGCCAAAATGATATGTATTACCTACAAAAACTTTCATATATGCGGAAGTTACGTTTTTTAACCCATCTGAAATGTTTTCAAATGAGGAGTTTCAGTGGTTTTTGTACCCATTTATTTAAAAATATAAAAATGCAATTCCTTCCAATTAGCTTATAACAACAACTGATGAACAAGAGAACGTGAAACATTAATAGTCACACTTCAATGGAAACCTTATGTAGGTGTGATAGGGATGGAGGAAGTGGTGTCAAGATGCAGAGAGTTCAGACAAGAGAGTGCACTTCTCCCATGAAGATCTCGTTATCAGTGACAGGTAGCTTCCCCAGCTATCACAGCCATTCAAACCATTCTCAAAATACAACAAACCTAGATGTAGGTCTTCACAGTGCTGTGTTACCAAAGTTAACCCAATATATATTTTTAGTAATAAAGTATATTAATCACATAGCCCTTGCCAATATATAAACTTAATATTCCAAAGCTTTTCTACACAATGAAAAAAATAATTATTTAAATATTTAATTCATTTCTAGTTGTTTTTCTGTGTTTTATGATCTCTGTTAATTTAATGACACATATTTATACCATCACATGAACATCAGGAAATGCACATATTTTATAGGGTGTGCTCAAACTTTTAATTGGGTGTGAGTACATGGATAAAAGATTTGGAGGCTCTGGGATATAGGATGGCTTGAGATAGGTCAGTGGGCTTTTTAAGGCTGTTAAGGCTCATGAAAGGGGAAAGATTATTAAAGAGATGGATAGGACTGCATCACTAGCTCAATTGATGATTTTTCTAACTCCATCATTCTTTTCATTAATTCATTATTGTTAGTCTACTATAAAGAAGAGGTTTCCTATTTATTTATTTATATCATAAGAATTCATAAATTCTTATTTTCTTCTAAGGCAGCAGTTCTCAACCTGTGGGTCGCGACCCCTTTGGCGGTCGAACGACCCTTTCACAGGGGTCGCCTAAGACCATCCTGCATATCAGATATTTACATTACGATTCATAACAGTAGCAACATTACAGTTATGAAGTAGCAACGAAAATAATTTCATGGTTGGGTCACAACATGAGGAACTGTATTTAAAGGGCCAGAAGGTTGAGAACCACTGTTCTAAGGGCTATAGTTTCTACTGATTATTCGTATCTCTGATTTATCTTCCCTATTTTAACTTCTCTGCCAACTACAATTATTTTCTTTCTTCAAATCAAATGTAAACCTTTTTCTTGTCTTCCTTGAAGACGTCTGTGACCTTTCCAGCATCTTTTCTTCCCTTGGTTCTTTTCTCTTTATATGTTCCAGCACTTAATCATATGCTTTTTAAAAAAATTTTTGTTTTATTGCTTAAAGTATTACAAAGAGTATTACATATGTCTCCCCCCCCTCCTCCCTTGGCAGGGAGGCAGGGGGAATCATATGCTTTTGATTTTATTGCTTTAAGTATGAAAGTTTCATGATTCAATCAGACCATAAAATCTTGAAGGATAAGAACAATATTTTCTCCTTCTCCAAACTTCCCATTTAATATAACCTTGCTGAAGATTAGAACAGAAAAACATTTTACATAAGTTAACAATAACTACCATGTAAGATATTACATTTGGATAACTTCCAATAAAAGCACAGATATGGCTGACCCTAAATTTTAAACATAGATTAAAACACAAAAATCAGTTAATAAAAAATGTATAGGATACAAAATAATAATAATATAATTTCATGCCTGGCAAAATAAATTAAGCTCAGGACTTACTTCTGACTGTCCTTGCAGCAAGGAAACTAGAGTAGTATGAGTTTTTCAGTGGAAATAGGTACATTATTTCACTATGGTACTAGAAGACTAACTTTTCCTTGATCAGGAACTCCTAGAAAAATTTCTTCCCTAAGTGAAGGATATTGGGCTAAATTTTTTTTGAATAACAGTTTTATAAAAACTAACTCATGTAACTCTTTCAGATGAAAGATCATCAACTCCTTCCATGAAAATAGCTTTCTGGGGTGATGTAGTGTAGATGGTATATAACTTTCTGGCTTAACCTAGGCTAAAATTTAAAGTATCTTGAGGAGTGAATGGTGACCCAAAATTCTAGGTCAGTGCTCATGAATATCAGTTTCCTCAAATGACGGGAGCTATAGGAAAGACAAAATTGAGTTCTCTAGCAGATAAATGAAGGCCAGGGATTCCCTGTATTGAACTAAAAAAGTTCATATGCACAATGATACTAAGCATGTAAAGCAGCGGTTCTCAACCTGTGGGTCGCGACCCCTTTGGCGGTCGAACGACCCTTTCACAGGGGTCGCTTAAGACCATCCTGCATATCAGATATTTACATTACGATTCATAACAGTAGCAACATTACAGTTATGAAGTAGCAATGAAAATAATTTTATGGTTGGGTCACAACATGAGGAACTGTATTTAAAGGGCCAGAAGGTTGAGAACCACTGTAAAAGGAAAGTAGAGTGTTTGAAAGTTAAGGAGCCCAACTTTTAGTTCCATCATAATGGGGCTATACTATGAGAGAACTTATAAGCTGGGCCAGGATTTTCCCAAAAAAAAGTAGCTGTGCATGGCCTGGCCAGTCACGGGACGATGCTCAGTAGTTAGAGCATCGTCCCGTGAGCCAAAGGGTCACAGGTCCAATTCTCAGTCAAGGGGTACGTTTGATCTGTTGTGAGTTTGATCTCAGCCCTGGTTGAGAGGCCCAATTGATGTGTCTCTCTCATATTAATCTCTCTCTCTCTCTCTCCCTACTCCCCCCCTTCCATTATATCTAAAAATCAATGGGAAAAAAAATATCCTCAGGTGAAGATTAACAACAAACAAACAAAAAGTATCTGTGCATATGTCCCAGTGCTTGAACAAGTACTTGATAGAAGCCCAAGGATTCTGGTCCATAAGGAAGGATTGATGAACCTTTAAATGGGGTGTTTTTGAGTTCCAGAGAACCAATTGTCCACCACTACCATAGAAGAACCTTATAAATACTCCTAAACAGATTTTATTTGATGAACTTTCCGGGTTACATTAGCTGCAATTTGGGGCCCTAGACACTTAACCGAAAGACCTTGCTTCATATAATTGCTTGGGATTCTTTATCTGGATACTACATTGCATCTGAGTTGATAAAAGGGTTTTTGGCATGCTAACATTTAGATATTTTTTTCCTGAGAGTTATTACTTAGTATTTACTCAACAAATATTTGTGGCATACAATCTATGTGCTCATCAGACAAGTAAAGCTATGACAAAAGTCTGTTCACCAAATCACTAGGCTATAATTTCCAGGAACATTCTAATTCTTGAATTGTGGAAATTTCAAAGGAAACAGTAGGGCTGCTGCATTCAAGGGAATGGTGGGGATTGGGTCAAGGAAAACTCTGTTAGTCTATAGTCCTTCCCCTTTAGGGAACACCCATGATTTGCTGGTTTGAGTTCACGTTGTATACCATCCCCCCATATTCTACCTCATGGCATATGTTCCTAAACTTCCTACCAAATCATCCCATTTCTGAATCTTCAAACAACCCTTTTCCTGATAACTTTTAGGGACTTAATATATATGTTTATTGGCTGGCTCTGACATTACTGTTCAGACTGTTCTTACAGCTGTGTAACAAGCCTTATGCTCTGGATTTGCTCAACTGCGGCTGCTGTGTTCTCATCCCAAGGGGCTGGCTGGTGCTGCTCCGTTTCTTGCCAGCAATAAGTTCCTGCTTAACAGATAAGCTATCAACATTTTCAGAATGTTAATTTTTTCAGTATGTCCTTTCCTCTTCACTTTTAAGGCAGGTTTAACAACTTACTTTCATCCTGGAATAAACTTGAAGAAAATACACTATGATAGCATCAAACTTTATGAGAAACTGGAAGAAGAAACCGGACAGGTAAATGCGTTTAACTTGAAATTGACTTTTAGGTGAGTGTCTTAGAAATATGTAAGCTCTCTGAAGGATTTTGACATCATCGTGTATAGCTGTGTGTAGTGGTATCAAGGGTATGTGAAATGTTTAATGTGTTAGAGAAATCTGATAAGAGTTTAAGGTAAGAGCCTCTGAAGTTTGCTCTCCAATCAGTTTTAATTCTTGAAGTATATTACCTATGTAATTACCCACTCTTCTCGCTTTTTTTAATGAAGGAAGAATACAAAGCATACAAAGCAGCAGCTTTCAGAAATATCTTTAGTCAGTTACTATATCCAGAAACTAAGAAATTAGAGCCTTTCAGCCACCGGATGACAAAGGATCTGACAACGGTGCATGGCATACTGTGACATGGCTTTGAAAAGTACTTCACTAAAAGCCCCTCACTTTTATTTTTATTTCTTCTCATAGTTATTAGCATTCTCAAAATAAACTTGCAGGCTTAGAATATCCATAGGCTAAGACTGAAGTCTACTTAAAATCCTCATGCCTAAAGCCATCAAATGGCTCTGCATGGTCTACAGGACAAAGGACAAAGGAGGAGGACCTGCACAGCTGAGCCCTGCCTGCCTTTCCAGCATTTGCTCTTGCTGCTCTTTGCTATGCTCAGATGCTTCAGCTCTTCTTAATTACTTACAGTTCTGGAATGTGCTGGGCTCTCTGCCTGAAACAACATTCCTCTGGCTCCCATTTCAGCACTTACCCTCCATCTTTTCTGGGGGTCATCCCCTTTGAGGAGCTGGCCTTGACTTTGCCCACCCACCAGTCAGGCCGAGCTGAGGACACGGCACTTGGTTCTAAGAATATTGGTGTATACCTCTCTTATACACCCATCTCTCTATGGTGGTTGTTGCTTTACTGTTTGGTCTTCCCTACAGAGTATGAGCAACCTGAGGGCAAAGATTGCATCATTTATCTCTGTAACCCCGGGGCCAAGCTGAGTGCTTGGCCAACTGAAGGACTTCGATTAAATGTCAAATGAAGGTTTGTTTCAAGTCACAATCTCATTACTGCAGCATTCTGATTCTTCATATTCCTGCCTCAAATCCTTTGTTTTTCTCTTTTCCACATAATTTTCTTTCACTCTGTACATTAACACTATCTTATGTTATTGTATTATGCAATTAGCTCTCTGCTTCACCTGTAAGCTCTATACAAGCAGGGTCTTTGCCTCTCTTGTTCATAACAGCATCTCTGGGACTTAGTATAGTGCCTGGCGCAGAGTAGGCATTTAGTAAATAGTTGATGAATGAGTGTCTCTTTGTAAGATCCAAATATGTTTATGTAGTTATCTCTTTCACTGGATAGTAAATCTCTTTTGTTGTATATTTGCATTTTCATTGTACTGAAGAAGAATCCTGTTTCAGTGCCAAATAAGGATTTATTGATGTGTGTTTATTGGGATTATTATAACAGGTGGTGGGATTCCATCAGCCAGGTAGTATCAGAATTGCTACAACTCCTGTAAGGGTAGATGAATTTAAATATCAAATGACTCGGACTGGCTGGCATGCAACAGAACAGTATATTATTGAACCTGAGAAAATTCAAGAGATGTTCCCTTTACTCAACATGAACAAGGTATTTATCCTAAGGGCATTTTCACTATTTATTGACTGGAATTAAGATTAGAAAAAGTTATTTGAAGTTGTTAATTAAAAATAGAAAAACTTTGTACATACATTTTAAATGACAAAATCAAATGATTAATACTGGAATTTGGGTAAATTACAAGCTGAGCTACTGTGTATGCCAAATGAAATATGAAAAGGTAATGAAAAATTTTATTAGTTTTCTACCTATGACAACTGAGGAAATATATTCGATACCTTTCTATTACTGTGTCCCCCAGATCTGGGGATTCCCTTACATAAACATTCTGTTTGAGAACTATAAATAAAACAATAACCTGGGATGCTAAGTATATCATCCCAGGAAAGATTGTGTTATTAAAATTTTTTACAAAATCAAGTGTAGAAGTACTACTATGTTGCTGCACAAATATCCCCTAGCTCATATGTATGCTTCCCTGGAAGGCTCTATGCCAGGTATTTATCTAGTTTTACAGATTTGACTAAAAGAATCCACTTGAGAATTGTCTTTTTTTGCTGGGTGATAATCCAATTTTCATAATAATGACAATGACTGATTATACTACATAATACTACAGCACATATTTATGTACCAGTTACTATGCTAAGCCCTTAACATGCATAGTCTTGTTTTATCTTCACAATAATAATATAAGGTATATATTACATAAACAGGAAACTGTAGCTTAGATGGTTTACATAGTGGGTCTGAGCTTATCCAGCTGGAAACAGCTGAGCAGAGATTTGAACCCAACTCTCTGACTCCTTTGTACATACTACCTAAAGGTACCGGGTAGGACTGTTGAGGGAAGCAGAGTGTTATGTTTCTCCCTGGTGACTCCTGCAGCATCTCTGATACCAGAGGGGTTGTATCATTGATCTGGGTGCTGGGGTTGTTTGCCCTTGTGAGTCTTTACAGGCTGTTGGCACTCCCTTGTCTATAGTGTTGTGTGATGCCACTGTGATGGCAGACTGGTGTGGCATTGCATTGTCTACATTGAAATTCCATCACTGCTCCTAGAGAGGATGTGCTTATATCTGTGTATATGTTAATCTTGGAATACTTCGCTGGAAGTTCTCACCATCAGATTTTTCTCAAGGGCATTAAGTATGGAGACATGTCAGAAGAGTATTCTCCATCTCTGGGGCAGGATGCCAAATTAAATAGACATAGGATCACTGAGATGATATACCCATTATAAAACACCAATGTGACATTTGAAAGGTTACAGTAATATGAATTCCATTAAAATTGAAAGTCTCTTGCACTAAACCTATAACAAGAGATTGGATTAGTCATCAAAAACTTCCCACAGAGAAATACCTAGGCCCAAATGGCTTCACTGGTGAATTCTACCAGACATTTAAAGAAGACTTAATACCAAGTCTTCACAAACTCTTCCTAAAATAAAAGAGAATTGAACCCTTCCCAACTCATCTTTGAGGCCAGTATTGCTGTGACATGAAAACCAGACAAAGATATCACAAGGAAAGAAATATCAGTATCCCTTACGAATATTGATGCAAAAGTTCTCAACAAAATACTAGCAAACTTAATTCAGCAACATGTAAAAAGGATTATGCAGCATGACCAAGTGGAATTTATTCCAAGAATACAGAGTTGGTTTAACATCTGAAAATCAATCAATGTAGCACTGCATTAATAGAATAAAAGGCAAAAACAGATGATTATCTCAACAGACACAGACAAAAAAGTTGACATCTCCTGACTCATATTTGGTACACAATAGATTTTTGTTGAATGGCTAAGACCTAAATACGTATACCACTTCAGCGTATTCACTCGTTTCACCTGAGTTTTGTTCTTTGTCTCTCCCATAGTACTAGCCTCAAGCCCTACCACAAAGTAGTATTCAAGAAATAGTTGTTGAATGACTGAATTAAGTTTATATTTTTCTGACACCAGGTATATATTTAGCATGTGAATTTACTAACAGAATTAAATATAAATATTTGATCTGTTAGTATTAGATTTGACTACAAATGACAGAAACCAATAATATTTAAACAAGATAGAAGTTTATTTCTCTTTTACTTAGACAGTCTGGGTTTGAATGCTAGCTGTTTTCCATGAAGACTTCAGGGACCCAGTCACCTTCCAAATCATTGCTCTGTCATTCCTAGGGTGTGACTCTTCTGTTCTTATTCTAAGTGGCAGCTAGAACTCCAGGCATCTGTCTGCATTCCAGACTGGGAGATGGCGGAAGGGGCAAAGAAGAAGGGAGAGACAAAGGACATATGCCAGTTGTCTTTTTATAATGGTTTGTGGAAGTTGCCACATGACACTTTCATTTGCATTTCATTGACCAGAACTTAGCAATCGTTTTATCTATCAACTGGAGCTTATAACTGCCAACTATTGGAAACTGTTCTTAGCGACCAGGTGTCTAAATAAACATACCATTTTTATTTCTATGAGGCGGGAGGAGAAGATGGATATTGAAGACAATTGCAAGGCTCACTCAGCCTCTCTACTTAACTTCTCAGTGTACGTCCTGCCTAAGTCTGAGCTTTGATACAGGAAAATGACTGATGAATCTGATGCCTCAATGCATTTTTCAAATCCAATTTTTTAAACATTTGCAGGCAGATTTAGTTACACCAAATAATGAGTACATACTCATTTGAATATTGATTTTTTATGATCGATTTAGATTTTAGCTGGATTGTATAATCCTGGCGATGGTCATATTGATCCTTACTCTCTAACGATGGCCCTGGCTGCTGGGGCTAGGAAATATGGTGCCCTTTTAAAATATCCTGCACCAGTGACTTCTCTGAAACCCAGGTCAGATGGAACATGGGATGTTGAAACACCACAGGGATCTGTGAGAGCAAACAGAATTGTGAATGCTGCAGGTAAGTGTCATATCATTTTTTAAAATTAGTGAGGCTCTTTAAGTGGCAAATAAATAAGGTATTATACCATAAAGTAATGGTTTATACTATGAATGTTGTTTTAAAACACTGTGATGCTCCCAAGGTAAACATTTTGTTTGTTTCTAAGCGACAAAGCCCTCCCTTCATCACTGTGCTCTCGGTGGAGCTACCACTCTGTCCTTGGTTACCTATCGAAACTTGATATTCTTCTCCGTGCTCCATTGCTTTGCTCCAGGTCATGTTTTGCCAAATTATGCTCCTTTTTCCTTTCTTATGTCCACTCTTTCTTCACACTTGTAACCAAATTCTAGTATTCACATTCATGAGCCTGACATAACCTTGTAAACTTTACTCAAGAATTTTCCTGACATGATGATTCAGAAATGTGATTGGATCATGCCAACTGAAGCCCAGTGTTCAGCCAAAAAGAATTGCCTAATTTTGCCTGATACTCTGCGTCAGTGAATGTCACTGTATAAACCATCAGTGCCACTGTATAGACACTAGAACCAGGAAACTTGTCCACAAACCTGTACCCTTCATTTTAGTTCCATTTATATCAGTCACTGAATTTTTTAAAATGGAAGCTATTTCCAAAGTTCATTTTTTTATTGACTCTTCAGTGGTTTTCAGTTGATAATGGCATATTTTTTAGGTGATTCCTCCACATTTGTCTCTCTTCCCTTTGCACTTGTTGGATGGGTGATCTAGCAGGGGTTGAAGTGTAATCCTGGCTAGATTTTGGTTAAATTGATTGACATGTAGAGGGGACAATGCCAACAAACACCACCCCCATAGGATAAAAAGCATAGACTTTTCCATGGGGTTTCAAGTAATATATGATACTTAAGCATATGTTTCCACTTTATTTTAATGATGAAGTGCATTAATAAGCAAGCAACAACTAGACTCAGAAATTATAAATATGTTTGAATAGGACAGAATTTATTTTATTCAATTTATGTTTTTAATTGAACAAATATATTGAGGAAATTGCAGTGCTTTGAATTACTAACTAAATATTTGGGCTTTTTATATTTTAAAACTTCTCTAATGCATGTAACTAGAATATGTGACTTTATTGTATTTTCCTACAAAATCCTGACATTGATTATTTACATATTCCTGTCAGCACAAATAAATTAAGTTTCTAAATTATTTAAAGACTATAAACAGCTTTAATGCCCACAAGTAAGATTTCTGGTTTACATATGGATACCCCTTTCTGGGGCTATTATTCAAGTGTAACCAACTTAGCTGTTAGCCCAAAATATAACAACAGAACACAAGAGTGATATTTAGATGGTTAAATAGAAATAAACATTTGCATGTAAGAGTGCATAATCTGGGTTCCCAGACTGACTCATAACTGATGATTCTGTGTTTAGCTCTGGACTTGATAATGACTTCAGAAATCCTTATTAGATTCTGAAAAAAAGCAGAAATAAAAATGGTTACAAATTTAGAAAGTGAAACCCCTAAAGAAATAACTTAAATAAAATCCCCTAATCATTTGAATCATTACTCCAAATTATGAAACAAACAAGAGCATAGACCCCTTTTCCCCGCCCCCCAAATGATCCCTTGGTGAGTAAGGCAGCACCAGATCCCTGACGAATAATCATTATTAGCATTTTAGATTCTAAAATACCTTTCTACAAGTGAAGGAGTCTTGGATTTTTTAAATAAAGTCTTTCTGTAGCAAGAAAAATAGTAAGATGGGATCATTCCAGGGTGTGGGGGGGGCGGTCCCCTTGTGACCTTGGGCAGGTCTGTTTTCTTCTCTGCACTTTAGGTCCACATCTGTAAACTGAGGAGTCACCCTGAGGGTTGGGAGGGGGGATAATCAAGGCTCCTTTCATCCACAAATTATCTGGTTCCATGTTTTGCAAAGGAAAAAAAGATCGCATTTGTTCCCACCAATAGGACAGCCCCCATGTGCACTGTAAGTGAGAAACATTGCTTGTGGGAATCCCCACTGTTTATAAGCCCACTCCCCTTGGCTGTGGTACCTCTTCCCTCCTGCTCTGGATTCCTGGTGCCTTCCTGCCCTTTCTTTGAAAAGGAAAGATCTTACAAACATATTCAAATTAGACTTTTAAAATAACAGAGAAAACTTAATTTTACCTCTCCCTAAGTATATACACTTTCAAATTTTAAAGTAACAGAACAATTCCATATTTGTGGAATTTTAGGCATCCACAGTTTGGGGAAAGGAGGGCCCGGGGAACAGAGGGAACTGACCTGCAGGGCTTTGTTCATGGTTATGATGTTTTATGTTGGTCACATCCACACGGGGCCTCTTCCAGGCCTGATCATCCCTGTTCTGCAGGTACAGCCAGCTCATTCCTGTCTTTCTTATCAACATTGGTACTTTTTATATATTTGAATTATTTATTTTTTCCTTCAAATATATTTTTTGTGCGTTTTTTCTGCCCACCTTTGCTTGTGGGCAAAATAGTTTTTCAGGAATAGAGTTTTCTTAGATTTCAGAATTATCTTCAAAACCCTGGGCAATGTACAATATTGTCTTGTCTTCTCTTTCCCTATTCAATTTTTCAATGACAAATAACAGATCATTATGACATTCTTTAGACTTTGCCATGAGTACTGAAGTCTTCTAACTATTTTATGCTGGCAGCCTCTCCTCCAAATAAATGTTGAACAAATGTTTAAATAATTGCAGTTGGAGGGAGAGCCAGACTGTTCACTGGCCCTGAGCACCCACATGATTTGGTCGAATCCTGCTGATCTGTAGGTCTCCAGGCCACTGACCCAACATGCAGTCCATGGGAGGAACAGGAAGAAGCTGGCTGGCTGCTGTGTGGGAAAATCATCAGTATTGGTGGACACGTTTTTTTTAGAAGGTCATCTGTGGCCCTGCCTTCAGTCACAGTGCCTTGTAGGACTGAGAAGAAGACTGCACTCCAAGCCCTCGGATATGCCTGGGAGCGGGCTCAGGGAGAGAGGCCTCTGTGCCATTCCTTCCCTGCTGAGAGTTAAAATGGATCTAGAATCCATCATCTTAGATCAGTGTCAGATGTGGTGACATTTAAAAATGACTTTTTATTTCAGGATTTTGGGCTCGTGAAGTTGGTAAAATGGTTGGACTAGAACATCCTCTCATTCCGGTTCAGCATCAATATGTTGTTACTTCGACTATCCCTGAAGTAAAAGCTTTGAAAAAAGAACTCCCTGTGCTCCGTGACCTGGAAGGCTCTTACTACCTCCGGCAGGAAAGGGATGGGCTCTTGTTTGGTCCATATGAAAGTCAGGAGAAAATGAAAGTCCAGGACTCATGGGTCACCAGTGGAGTCCCTTCAGGTTAGTGTAGCAAATGGAAGTGTGTGCATAGCAGGCATGTATGTTTTATCTTTCCTGTGGCTGGGGGCTGGCCACAGAATAAGATGATGACATAACACTAGACTATTGGATACCTGGGATATTGAGGGTGAGGGGTTTGAGGTAACCTCTGTTCTCTTCTCCGTTTGAATAATCACAGCAGGGAGTAAGGAAAGAGAGAAGAGGCAGCTGGTGGTGGAGAAGCTGAAGAAACATGCTCCCCACTGCTTTGGAAGGCTCTAGGTAATTTTTACCTGCCCACACCTACCTCCTGCATCCCTGCTCTTTCCTCACTCCCCCTCCTGCTGTGTCTAGTGTCCAGATTTAGCTGCTACTGTGCTCTGACAGTTGGAAATAGGACAGATATCAGAGACAGGCTATCCAGCCTGCTAAGAAAGAAAACCTTGGAATCTATCATAGAGCAGGGTAGGTTAGGACTACACACTGAAGCCTACCTACTGCATAAGGTGATGAGGAAAAGGCTCAAGCCTCTGTGCTAAACAGGAGGCACTATTGTTTCTCTTTCAAGTTTGGAAGGGAAAAGGACCTTTTTTTGGTATTTATGGGACATTTCTGCAGAGCTGGGGTAAAGATTGGGTCAATGAAGGAGGTAGTTCAGGTTTTAATTTATAAAAGGAGTTAAAATGTCACTGAGACACGATTATTATAATGTGAAATGGAGGAATTTATACTTTCTAGAATTACACTTGGATAAGCTACTTGAGATAGGGACTGAATCCCTCCCTACTGTTCCTCAAAGAATGCCTCTGTCCATGTCACAAGTGATCACTAAACCGCCTTCAACAGAAGTTGGGCCAGTTACCTGAGGGCTTTAGTTTTACTGAATGTGCTGTGCACATTTGGGCCTGAGCAGAATAGCTCCTGACCCCTGAGGGAGGGCTGATCTGACACCTGGGAGCCTCCCTCTTGGGTCTGCCCCATGCTGGCAGCCTCTCCTCCAAATAAATGTTGAACAAATGTTTAAATAATTGCAGTTGGAGGGAGAGCCAGACTGTTCACTGGCCCTGAGCACCCACATGATTTGGTCGAATCCTGCTGATCTGTAGGTCTCCAGGCCACTGACCCAACATGCAGTCCATGGGAGGAACAGGAAGAAGCTGGCTGGCTGCTGTGTGGGAAAATCATCAGTATTGGTGGACACGTTTTTTTTAGAAGGTCATCTGTGGCCCTGCCTTCAGTCACAGTGCCTTGTAGGACTGAGAAGAAGACTGCACTCCAAGCCCTCGGATATGCCTGGGAGCGGGCTCAGGGAGAGAGGCCTCTGTGCCATTCCTTCCCTGCTGAGAGTTAAAATGGATCTAGAATCCATCATCTTAGATCCCAGAGTAATTTTCCACTTAGCCCAGTGTCCTGGCATGACTTACTAAACTCCCATTTGCCCTCACCTGGGCAGATGAAGCAGATTTTATGGTTAGTTTAAGGATAAAAGATCTCTCTTAATAAACCAAATAATTGCTGCTTATTTTTAAAAATTGTGATTGGATTAAATGCTGAACACTGTTACCATGTATAAATTTAAATTTTCTATTAATTAAAAAGGTTAACTTTCATGATCTTATTGTTTCAAGAAATAACATTATTGTTAATAATATAGTACTTACCCATCTGTTGATAGTGAATGTCAAGATTAGACTTACAAAAGAAAAGAGGAGCCTGGCTAGCGTGGCTCACTGGTTGAGCGTCAACCCATGAACCAAAAGCTCTCCAGTCCCTGGTCGGGGCACATGCCTGGGTTGCAGGCTCAATCCTTGGTAGGAGGCGGCCGATCGATGTCTCTTTGTCATCAATATTTCTAGCTCTCTATCCCTTTAAAATCAATAAAACCATATTAAAATATATATTAAAACAAGAGGGAAAAGCTTCCTAACAGGCCATCCTGAAGTATATCCCAATTCAGAGATTTAAATCACATTAGAGTACTTGTCCGTGAAGCTGTGCCATCCTGATCAATGGTGTGTCCTTTCAGGGTTTGGAAAGGAACTCTTTGAGTCAGATCTGGACCGGATCATGGAACACGTCGAAGCTGCCATGGAAATGGTTCCGGTCTTGAAAAAGGCTGACATCATCAATATTGTCAATGGTCCTATCACCTATTCTCCTGACATTCTGCCTATGGTGGGGCCCCATCAGGGACTCAGAAACTACTGGGTGGCTATAGGCTTTGGGTGAGTATCTCCATGTAATTCAACATGTAGTATAGAGTTGTGTCTTTTAGATAAGTCTTGTCCCATAATCTCAGGTCAAAAGTGGAATGGGGGAAAGGGACAGAACCTTTTCCCTTTCATGACCAATGAAATGGGAGTAATAAAAAATTTTAGTCTTAAAACTCTGACTATATAATGGTTTCCTCAATTGTATAGGTTTTAAAGATTTGCATACAGAAAGGCAATGATTTCCTGGAACTTTCTCTTTGCATATTTTCTGCCATTTCCATTATTTGTGTCTTTTTAGGGCAGTTTGCCCCAACTTACAAGTATGTTTTATAATACAATGTGACACAGATAATTCAAAAAATCAAATGTATAACATATCTGATGCTGTTTTCACCATAATTCATGTTTGTCCAACATGATTTGCTTTTTCATGACTCCTCAGGTTGCTTACTATTTATGATTCCATCACCCATTTCAGATTTCATCTCTAATATTTGTGCCATTAATTTGTTAAATATTAATGTTAAACCCCATTTACTATCATGTCACAACTTCTAATATTCTATTTTTCTTTCCCATTTTATTTGGGTATTTATTCAACTAACATTTAATAACTGCCAGCAAGTGCTAGATCTTGGGCTGCAGCTGAGCACAGGGCAATGGGGTCTGACCAGAGGTGCAAGCCTGGTTGGGCTGCTGTCTGCCGACAGTAGAGAGGCTGCAGTTTGAACTAAGGAAGCAGCAGTGAGGACTGAGAGACAGGAGGTACAATTATTTAGATTTGGTGATCAATTGCATTAGGTTTGACGGAGAGATAAAAATAGCAAATAATGGCAACCTTTCTAACTTGACCCCTGGTTGGATGCTGAGGACCATGGGGAGAGAAAAACCAGAAAAATGAGTGTCATTTTTTTTTAAAATATATTTTTATTGATTTTTTACAGAGAGGAAGGGAGAGAGATAGAGAGTTAGAAACATCGATGAGAGAGAAACATCGATCAGCTGCCTCCTGCACATCCACTGGGGAGGATGTGCCCGCAACCCAGGTACATGCCCTTGACCGGAATCGA